AGTATGAATTCATTTTGTGGTTAGAAAAAAATGTTAGTCCTGAGTGACCTAAGACAGCCTATAATTCAGTTGAGAGTTCTGGAATACCACAGAAATGAGAAATCACAGGTTCTAGACTAGTGTGGGAAGATCCATGAGGAGGTGGCATTTGGAGGATTGCTGACGGATGGACAGGATTTAGACATGGGTGGGAGAAGACGCGCTAGAGAGGAGGCCTAAGTGAGTGGATAATCATGACGGGTGTTCCGTGCCAGTTACCAGCTTATTTCCTCTCAGGTCTAAAACCCATTTTTGGCCCTGCTTTGTGATTCTGGAGCTGGACCGTGTAGACCTTTCTCTCTTGCCGGTTGGCACAGTACTTGGCTTTGTCCTGCCACAGCATGTCTGGGGATGTTGAAAGAACTCCCTGCCAAGGAGAGGCTACAAGGAGCAGATCAAGATTAGTCAGATAAAGCACCAGAAAATTTTTTCAGGGTCTCAACCTCTAGGCAGAAAAGAAATTCAGTCACGAACTGAAAGACTAGTAAGAAATCTTCTCAACATTGCCAACGATGGTTCAGCAACTGCCTGACAGAGCCATGAGTCTTCCCAAGGCTTTGCCCCCTGACCTGCTGCTCATCCCTTCCTCTGCAGCCTGTCTTCCATGGCCAGGGCCTTCCTGACGGGCGCCCACTTCTCCTAATGATGAGCGCACCACACTTTTCACACTACTTTACCTTTGCCCGCAATATTGCCACTACCTGGAACACCCTCTTCCATTCTTTGATGCCTTGACAAATATCCATTAGTCTGTCAAGAGGCTGATGGGGCATCACGATGCACGTCACGATGGTGAAAGAAGTTTCCCTATATTATCTTCCCTCCAGCTTCATACCTTCCCTTCCCCATTCCTTCTAGACTGCTTCAGTTCCATGCATTAAGTTATCTTTGGCTTATTTAGTGTCTTTGTTCATCTTTTCCGCTACGAAACTTAATGCTTTTTTTTTTTAAGGTTTTATTTATTTATTTGACAGAGAGACACAGTGAGAGAGGGAACCCAAGCAGGGGGAGTGGGAGAGGGAGAAGCAGGCTTCCGGCCGAGCGGGGAGCCCGATGCGGGGCTCAATCCCAGGACCCCGGGACCATGACCTGAGCCGAAGGCAGACGCTTATTGCCTGAGCCACCCACGTGCCCCGAAACTTAATGCTTTAATTCTCCCTTAGATCTCCAGAGCCTATCAGACAGCCTGGAATATAGCATGTGGACTGAAGTGACTTGGGAGGATGGTATTATTTGAGGGGATTGGAACACTTAGAATTAGTGGGGGCATCATTGTAGGTGTAGAATAGCATTTTACAGTATTTCTGGTTTAGGAATGTTGGCCATCCAATATCTTTTCCAGTAGGTTGCATCAGCATGGTATTTCTCTACCTCTGTCTGCCTCTCTCTTCTCTCATACACAGGCAAGGGTACGTGGTAGGAGAATTAGAATCTACTATTAAATCAATCTGCTTTGGGCTCAACCTATGAAATTCTGAGCAGGAAAACACCTATACCTCCTCATGAAGTTCTTTTTGCAATGTCCATTTCAGTTAAAATCCCCCTTTTTTTCAAAGATTTTATTTATTTATTTGTGAGAGAGAGAGAGAAAGCATAAGCAGGGGGGAGGGGCAGAGGGAGAGGGAGAAGCAGACTCCCCACTGCGCAGGGAGTCCGATGCGGGACTTGATCCCAGGACCCTGGGATCATGACCTGAGTTGAAGGCAGATGCTTAACTGACGGAGCCACCCAGATGCCCCTAAAATCCCCTCTTAACATAAAGGAGGGGAAAGTTCAGAGGTGAACAATAGAATATCCCTCACATTGCTGGCATTCTGGGCTGGTTAAGTGACTCCTTGGATAGCTCTCTCGCCTATCCCAAGCTGAGAGCATCTAGATTTTGATTGGACTTTTGCCAGAGCTCATTAGCATAGTGTACCTTGACCTGGATTAGGGAAATGCAGCGTCTGTGTAGAAAATGACCAGAACCTGCTGGGACCTGAACCAGAGATGAGATTTTTATGACACAGTATTGTCTGCATCTCCATAAGAAGTCAGAAGGTAAGGAAGCCAGAAATCCGCAGGAGAGGCTAGTGTAAGGAATATGCTAATAGTCACCCCATTCCTACAGGGTTTCAGTTCTACTTGGTTCTCTATAGAAATGATAAAATTTGAATACATTTTGGCCCAAGTTGCTTAAAAAAAAAAAAAGGAAGTCTTTACAAATTAAGTTTTTTGATTCTGGAGGAAAACTGAGTTGTTTATTTTCGAAGGGCTGCATGCAGTCCTTCCTATGTTTTGTTCTTAACTTTCAGGAAATACTAAATTAACGTTTGTTCATTTGGCAACAATTTATAGCCAAGAAGACCAAAAGGGCAATGTAGCTTTTGTGCAGCAAGATTTTTTTATTCCCCCTCCCTTAATTTAAAAACAAAAGAATTATGTCTATGTCACTTAAAACAATGCTTGGGAATTTTTGAGATGTGAATCTTGTTATTAAAGGTTTTTTGTTTTTTGTTTTGTTTTGTTTTTTTAAAAAAAGATCACTCTGTCCCAATTAGCTGTAACAAGTTTTAGACCATCTGAGTTACTGTTGTTAACGCTCAAAGAGGTAAGTGCATCCAGCTGCTGCCATCAGGTCGACACGTGATCTTTTTTTTTTAAAGAATTTTTTATTTATTCATTCGAGACACAGATACAGAGAGAGAGAGAACATGAGGAGGGGGAGAAGCAGGCTCCCCGCTGAGCAGGGAGCCCGATGTAGGGCTCGATCCCAGGACCCCGGGATCATGAACTGAGCCGAAGGCAGACGCCTAACCATCTGAGCCACCCAGGCGATCTTTGTGTCTCATAGACTTGTAATTGAAATCTGAATTCGGGTCAGTCTGTAAGAGCCTTTCTTTAGCAACTTAATGTCTATTTCCCAAGCGATTTTTGATTTAAAACTCCTGGGGATTTAACCTTGCATGGCAGTGTTCGAAACAAGGGTGATGGACTTCATGCCCTTTGAATCTTTGACCACTAGGTTGTAGGTGAGTGTGGTAGGGGGGATAAGGCACAGAGGGACCCCTAATTAGCTTGTTATCTAATGGTCATTGGTTCAGGTCAGCCGTCTTCTATATTCATATACTTGCCCTCAGATCTCAGAGACTGACAAGTATTAGGGTTTATATAAAGTCAAGTAACTAAGGAATGGGGCCTATGGCATTTCCTCAGCTGGAGACTATTAAACACATAGTTCAAGTTTACTATTAAGTTGTTTTATGTAACATCATTATGTCCCTTGTTTTTACAAGAGCCACCAGCAAATGGAGATGTCACACATGTAAACGTGTCACTTTGTGTCCTACTAATAAGCACATTTCATCTGCAAAATGATTAGTTTTTTTCCTCAGAGTAGAACATTTCCTTCCTTCCTCTCTTTTTCTTCCTCCTTTCCTTCCTTTTTTCTCTTTCTTTCTTTCTTCTTTCTTCTTTTTCCCTTCCTTTTCTTTTTTTTGGGTAAATCTCCTTTAACCAATTATGATTAGAAACCAGAGGTATTTCTCATGGGGGAAGAAATGCAGTCTGCACAAACATTTTTGAATCTCTATCTTTTACATAATACAATTTAATCAAAGTAAAGTGAGATAGAAGAATCTTCAGTTGGGGGGCGGGGGGCAGGGAAGAGGGAGATTTCTATTAGAAAGCCTTGAGGGTGCTTTGAGTTAAAGTCAAGAAACACTTTTTATTTTATTTTTTTATTTTATAACTTTTTTTATTTTATTTTATTATTAACATATAATGTATTTGTTTCATGGGTACAGGTCTGTGATTCATCAGTCTTACAAAACTCACAGCACTCACCATAGCTCAAACCCTTCCCAGTATCCATCACCCAGCCACCCCATCCCCCCACCCCTCTCCCCTCCAGCAACCCTCAGTTTGTTTCCTGACGTTGAGAGTCTCTTATGGTTTGTCTCCCTCTCTGGTTTCTTCTTGTTTCATTTTTTCCTCTCTTCCCCTATGATCCTCTGCCTTGAAGAAATACTATTCTAAAGTAGTAGTTCTCAAGGAGTTTTGCCCCCGCCAGGGGACATTTGGCCATGTCTGGAGACATTTTTATTGTCACAACAAAAGGATGCATTGCTACTGACACTTAATGGTCAGAGACCAATGATGCTGCTAAACGTTCTACAGTGCACAAGATAACCTCCCACGGCAAAAATTACCAGGTCCAGGGGCGCCTGGGTGGCTCAGTTGTTAGGCGTCTGCCTTCGGCTCAGGTCATGATCCCAGGGTCCTGGGATCGAGCCCCGCATCGGGCTCCCTGCTCGGCTGGAAGCCTGCTTCTCCCTCTCCCACTCCCTCTGCTTGTGTTCCCTCTCTCGCTGTGTCTCTCTCTGTCAAATAAATTAATAAAATCTTAAAAAAAAAAAAATTACCAGGTCCAAAGTGTCAATAATGCCAAGGTTTTAGAGGGAATCTGATTTGAGGATATCCACTGATAATATTTGAAGATACAGAGTACACACTGGATTTATTAAGGAGATACAAATTAATCTTTGTGGCAATTTAGATTTAAAAAATACTTCGAGATATATTTGGTTGTGATGTTTCCCACTTGTAACTTGAACCACATATTAGCCACTGTACAAAGGTATATCCATGAAAACACCTCCAAGCTAGCTCTCCCTCTTGCCCCAAGGTGTATGGAGGACAATGTTCTAACCAACCATTGGCTGCAGGTGACAATGGTCCCTACTCCGGCTTTTCCAGCCTGGGCCTAGAAGGGAGAAAGGCAGCCCCAACCCAAGGATCATGGGTGCTTCTGATTCCCCGTAGTCAAGCTTTATTGCCACAAGATCACTAATGACTTATACATTGTGTTTTTATTTTGTCTGTTGGTGCTTGCAAAAATGTCAATGAAACAGGTTTTTCTGGCAGTCAAGTACTGATTTTTATCTCTTTAACGGTCAGTATTACTATCACTTATTTTTTAGTGTCAGAAAACAGTCTCCAGGTCTAAGCTGCTTGAGTCAAGAGTGGATTGATCCAACAGTAGGAAACACCTTTGAAAGGAAAATTCTCCACCACTTCTGCGGGATTGGACAGGCAGAAACCTATGGGTGACCTGACTGTCATGGAGCCTGAAGACTTTGATTCTGAGGACAAGGAGATATTAAGCTGGGATATTAATGATATGAAACTGCCACAGGTATGTACTTACATAACAATCTGCCTTCAGCATTTGACTGTGAAGCCTTAACTTGCTAAAATCTGGAAGGAAATTGGTGAAGGTCCAAGCTGGGTAAATTCCTCTCCTGCAGAGCTTCAGCTGGGCATCCGACTGAGGAATTTTAAGAGGAGATGCCATTACCTAGAATTCAAGCGGGTTTTTACCTATCAGACACCACACCCTCCGCCCCACAACAGTTAAAGACTGAAACAAAGAAACTGCTACTTCCCTTCTCTTTCAAAATTTGACTTGGCTTTTGTTGTACCCACCCTAGCTAGCTGGTAGAATAAAGTCCATGATAAGGTATTTGCCAATAGATTGACTCTGCACAGTGCACAAATTCCCATACAGTCTTATTTGCTATATAGTAATGGTTTTATTTTTTTATTTTTTTTTTTGAAGAATTTATTTATTTATCTGAGAGAGAGAGAGCATGGTGGGGGCGGTCAGAGGGAGAAGCAGGGAGCCCGATGCAGGACTCGATCCTGGGGACGCCAGGATCATGCATGACCCGAGCCAAAGGCAGTCGCTTAAACAACTGAGCCACCCAGGCGCCCAATATAATAATGGTTTTAAATTAAATCTGTAACTGGAATGTGCAAATGATAGTGCTCTTATGGGATAGAGCAGCTCTTCTAGAACTTTTGTAAGTAATGCATTTCATATTTTCTTTACCTTCTTTTTTGGCATTTGACTTTTTAACTCTTAATTTGGTGGAAAATATTAGTTGTTTAAAACTGACCTCCCCTGGCTCCCTTTCTGGCATTCAAAGGATGTGTTTTCATTGGAAGTTGTTGGAAGGGGTGTTGAGAAGGCTGACCAGTACCGTGTAATGGAAAGGTCAAGCTAGTCTGCCTGATTCTGGGGAACAAGAAATTTGGATTTTCCAAGGCACGGCAGAAGAAATGAGATTTCCACAGTCTTGATTTATAACCACTCCTGATTTCATTCTAATGAAGACTTCCAGATCATTCCAAATTGCACTCTAGTGAAGATTTTCTTTCTTTTTTTTTTTCCAAAGATTTTATTTATTTATTTGATAGAGAGAGGCAGGTAGTGACAGAGATCGCGAGGAAGAGCACAAGCAGGGGGAGAGGCAAAGGGAGAGGGAGAAGCAGGCTCCCCGTGGAGCAGGGAACCAGACATGGGGCTCAATCCCAGGACCCTGGGATCACGATCCAAGCTGAAGGCAGACACTTAACGACTGAGCCACCCAGGCACCCTGAAGATTTTCTTTTGTTTCTCTTAAATTCCTGCCTACGTTACCTCTCAGTAGATCTTGGAAGAGCTGGAAGACACAAAGCATACCCTGCTTTCCACTCAGTGAAGGTGGTTAAATAAACCAGAGCTGAATCATATAAATATCTATTGTAGGGATTTGTCCTTATAGTTGCTCTTTTTTTTTTTTTTAAGATTTTATTCATTTGAGAGAGAGAGAGAGCACAAGCAGTAGGGAGGGGCAGAGGGAGAGGGAGAAACAGGCTCCCTGCTGAGCAGGGAGACCCATGCGGAGCTCTATCCCAGGATTCCCGGGATCATGACCTGAGCCACCCAGGTGCCCCTTTATGGTTGCTGTTAATTGGTTTATGATTGCTGTAGCTGTTTTAGGGGAAACTTTAAGGTACTTTTTTTTTTTTTAAGATTTATTTATTTGAGAGAGCGAGAATGAGAGAGAGAGAGAGTACATGAGAGGGGAGAGGGTCAGAGGGAGAAGCAGGCTCCCCGCCAAGCAGGGAGCCCGACACGGGACTCGATCCCGGGACTCCGGGATCACGACCCGAGCCGAAGGTAGTCGCTTAACCAACTGAGCCACCCAGGCGCCCTTTAAGGTACATTTTAGTTATACCTGGCTCAGGGGCCTATATTGCTGCCTATTCCTAATTTCATGATTGTAGCTCACAAGTAGCTGCTGGGTAACCTAAACATCAAGAGTAGAAATAAACAAGTACAAGGAAGATTCGCAGTTTCACATCCTAGAGCAGGGGTTTTAATGGGGTTTGAGAACCTTCTGAAATGGTAACACCGTGTACTAACATGCATTTTTTTCTGGGACAGAGGATCCATATCATTCATCAGATCTGTAGACAAAAGAAAGGAAGCACCACTTCTCTGGAGGAAAACTCAGGGCTCATGAAAGTTGATTTTCCAACATGAATTTCCAAAAACAAAAGCATTCACAGCTACCCAAGACATTAAATTCAGAAATTTACAACAAAAATACACAGTGCAATGTTGAAAATGTATCATTTATAGTTAATCAAAAAGTTTAATTGCTCATGGAAATAACTCAAGTGCCCTTGTAAATAGGCCAGGGAAATGATTAGAAGTGCAGTGTCCCTTGGGGTACCTGGGTGGCTCAGTCATTTAGGCCTCTGATTCTTGGTTTTGGCTGGGGTCGTGATCTCAGGGTTGTGAGATCGAGCCCCACGTTGAGCCCCGCGTCGGACTGCGCTGGGTGTGGAGCCTGCTTAAGATTCTCTGTCTGCGCACCCCCCCCCCCCCCCCCCCCCTCTGTACTCTTCTCTCCCTGCCCCTCCCAAAAAAAAAAAAAAAAAGGTG